TGTTGCCCTAATTTTACATGGGATTTTGCCTTTTTCAAATGCTTTTAAACATTAAATTAGGAACATTTTAACGTGATTAAACAATGAAATTACCTATAAACAAGGTCCATGAATGCGGCAATATGAATAATAATACTGAAATGTACAGAAATATACAGTTAACAGTTGGTTTAAATAATAATGGATTGCATTCATATAGTGCTTTTTCAGACCCTCAAAGTGCTTTACAATTCCACTTTATAATTTCCCTCTGGCCATCACCAGTAGGTGGTAGGTGAAATGTCTTGCCTAACGTTGTCAGTTCGACAACGGGGCTCGAACCTTCTGATTACAAGGCGAACTGCCAACTCTTGAGCCACGATCGCCCTAAGTAACAATAATAATAATAATTATTTGATGTAAAAAAAATTTATGAGAATCATTTTATATATTTTTCCATAGCATTACATTTGAATTAAACAGTTCAATCTTTCAAATAACGGACAAACATTTGTGAAATGATACATTTGTGAATGTATTTTAATAATCTAAATATGCATATGTACAGACAAATACATTAAAAAAAAACAAGAAAATTATGTTATATTACAATACAGTGATTTTACGTTAATTTACATTTGAAATGTAAAATCACAGTCTATTGATGTAAATTTAATGATATTTTAGAAGAACAGTACAAAACTGTAAAATACACAGTAAAATACTTTTATATTACAAATTTTTTTACAGTGTATACCTCTAAGGATATATGAGTATATATTTCTAAGCATAAATGACAATCCAACAATATAAAAGTAACACTATTATTTCAAGTTGGATCCTGATGGGCAGATCAGAGGGATTCACGGTGAACGCGAGCAAAAAACTTGAAGTCTTTCTCCAGTTCACCAAAAATCTGAAATCATTGCTCAAACTCCAGTAACAGTCCCGTTATTTTATCTTTGAACTGCTTCATGTCTACCACACTTTGGGTCATGCACACATTTTTCAAACAGGGGAAGTGAGCTGCATCACCACCAGGGCTGGACTGGGACAAAAAAACGGCCCGGGCATTTTGACTAGCGACCAGCCCACCAGGTATTATAGGAATAGGAATATTCCTATGGTTTTTTTATAGGAAAAACCATAAAGCCTTTGAATGAAAACAAACACTGTTGTGACAGTGATGTACACTGTCTTGTTGGTATATATGTATCAATCTAATAAACTTAAACCTACAGCATCCTCTCTATTCTGGTATTCTAAACAGTACTTAGCCGAAACCCAAAGACTGCTCGGTCGAGTTAACCTCCTGAACTATCTACAACATATGGTGGAAACCTGAAATCAAGACAGAGAAGACTAAAGGTGAGACATGATCATTACTGAATATTAAAAATAATAAATGACAGATTTAGATATATTTTCATAAATTATTCATTTACCACATCAATAAACAGCATGGCAGGACAAAATATTTTTTTAACATGGCAACCTTTAAAAAGTGAAAGGAGAAAGAAAGACAGGTGAGAAAGAATAAAACTTAATTATACAGTATAATGGGACCCTGAAAAAATATTACTATGTACAATAATGGATTTCTATACATTTTACATCAGATGAAAACGTTTGTTGTAAGATTCAAATAATTTTTGGTAAAAGCTAGACATTTTAATTGAGAATAATAAAAGAAAAGTAGTCCTTGTGCCCCACTTTCCCTGTTAATGTCCTACCTGGCCCCCTGGCAAAATTTTGCTAGACCCGCCCCTGCACAGTTACCAGCTGTCAGCTACATAGAAAAAGGATGATGGTGTTATTTGTCTCTCAGAAACAGTTCATAACTTCCCTTCAACTCATTCATGTCAACTAAAAGGTAAACCTGTTTTTCCATCACCTGTTCAGCTCTGATGATTCAGTAAGGACATCTCCTGGTTTCATCTTCATGTTTCCCTCTCACCACATATCCAAACCGATATCATGACCAGCAGCTTTACAGCTGTGGCTCCAGAAAACATCAGCTGATAGTAGAAATTAATATTACATAAATTCTAACAACAGCTGATCAAGTTTAAACGTGCTGCTGTTGTTTAGCGCGACCTCCTCTGGGTTCCTTGTTCTGGTGCAAAGTGGACAATAAACAAGCAAGAGAGACAGGACTTGCATCAGAAAAGCCGATCATCTGATCATTGATCAGTTTCATGATTGTGGTAGCAAAAGGAGAGGGAGGGGAATGAGAGAAGAAGAGACAGCTGACAGCGTAAAGACGCAGAAAAACTCCAGCTTTGTGTCTTTTTCCATTCTAGCTGAAGTCCGGGACAAACTGTGCTCCTTAGGTCAATACGAAACGCGGAATATTTTCTCTGAATACGAGACGATTCGGTTTTTTACGGGACGGTTGGAAACTCTAATAACTTACCTTATAAATAAAATAAAGTTAAACATCAGTAACATCATAGCACCCGCCCAGCAGTATATAAACTCCGTCATGCTAGCTAGTACGCAGAGTTATTGTAACTGACTGTAAAAAGTCAGCATAACGAAAATAAACTCCACCTAAACTTGGTTTATATCTGACCCAGACAGACTGCAGGTCATAAGTTCTCACTTGAAGTTCAGTTCACCTGACACTCGGAACGACGGCCACCTCAAGTCTCTGCTCTTCCTGCCTCACCTTTCCATCATCCACCTGCTGGCCTCCACCACTTGCTAACATTACTGAATCTGTGGAAGCTCCGCAATAGCCACCACCAAACAACAATTGAGTTATTTTTACACATCTCCCAGCATCTGGCCAATCCACCACCTTTCAGTGTTTATACCGTTACGAGAAAAAAAAAAGAAAAAAAACTCATCGGCCCACCGGGCAAATGCCCAGTATGCCCGATGGCCAGTCAAGCTATGATCACCACCAGTGAGCTGCGTCTCCCACAATGACAGCTTCAACTTGAAAGAACGTATGCTGTCATAATACTGCGCGACAACTTTATTGCATCCTTGAAGCTGTTTGTTCAAGTTATTCAGGTGCTCTGTAACATCCACCATAAATGCAAGTTCTGCATCCATTCTGCGGAATGAAATTCTAACACTGGTTTGCCCTTTTCTTCCATGAACTGTTCAATTTTTTTCTTGTAAATCAAAGAAATGCCTCAGCATAGCACCTCAGCTCATCCATTTTACCTCAGTGTGGTATTGCAGGCCATAGATGTGGTCTTTTTCTCTGAGAAGGCTGACAAACTGATGGTGATTGAGGCTTCTGGAACAGATGGGATTAACAATTTGGATGACCACCTTCATGACATTATCCATTTTTAATGACTTGCAACACAAAGCTTCCTCGTGCAAAATACAGTGAAAAGCCCAAAAATCAAATACTCCATTTGCAGATTGCGCTTTATCTCTGAACTTGGTTACGGCGCCTGCTTTTTTCCCAATCATTGAGGGCGCACCAGCTGTAGCCAGGCTGACACCGTGGGACTACTCCACTCCAACCCTGTCCAGTGCGCCGACAAGTGCGGTGAAAATAACAGCTGCGGTCGTTGTATCTGTCATCGGCACCAACTCCACGAACTCCTCTGTAACAGTCAATGTGTCATCAACTCCGCGGATGAAAATTGCCAGTTGCGGAACATCTGTAATGTCCATGCCTTCATCAATTGCAACTGAAAACGCAATAAATAACTTTACTTTTTGCTTCAACTGGCTGTCCAAATCCTCTGAAAGATCAGAAATCCTGTTGGCAACTGTGTTTCTTGTCAGGCTGATATTTACAAAGGCCTGGCGCTTTTCAGGGTACACTATCTCCGATGCCTTCATTATACGTTTTTAGAAATTCACCCTCAATAAATGGTTTTGATGCTAGTGCAATTTCATTAGCGATGAGGTAGCTAGCTTTCACTGCATCGTCACTGATGTCTAGGCTGTGACTAAATACAGACGGCTGTTTCTTCAGACCCACCAACGGTTCATTCACCTTCTCTCTACTTCACTGTCCTTGAAAGTAGTCATATTTGTCGGCATGAAGACTCACATAGTGGTGACGGAGGTTATATTCTTTCAGATCTGCAACATGCTGGGAACACATACATACAAACATACAGTTTTCCTATTCACTTTCGTAAATAAATAGGAGGATTGATTGTGATATGTGATAAGACTTTTAAAGATCCAGATTACCTGAAGGAACACCGGCAGATCAACATTAGAAAAGGACAGCACGAGTGAAGCTACTGTAAAAAGTGTTTTTGTTATTTTTATTATCTAAATTCAACTTCTTTTAAAACCTCACAAGCGAGTAATCACAATGCCCACCTTGTTTATTGTCCTGAAAAGCTTTATAAGCCGGACAATGAATCAGTGATGTTGTAGTCTTTCACAACGATGGTGGTATAGTGGCGAGCATAGCTGCCTTCCAAGCAGTTGACCCGGGTTCGATTCCCGGCCATCGCAGTTGCCACTCGCAGTGCTTTTCAAGCATGTGGACTGCATACTGTTTTACACTAAAAACGTTCTCCGCTCTTTCTGCAAAGGCTTACAATGTCAGGCCAGGTGCATTCTTCATCGGCCTCGCTGCTACCGTTTGCTGTGGAAAGACACTGTTCACACAGGCTTTGAGTTCTCATCACTTCATACCTATACCTTCTTACATGAAACTGGGATTGGACACGTTACTTCTTCATAAAGACACCCAGTCCCACTTTAAATATTGTGCTGAATGTTTGGAATGAAGATAACATTTTACTAACCATGTACTGATCAGCTCTTTGCGGTGGCAAAATCATCAGCTGTGTGTGTTACTGTTCATGCAAACAAGCAAGCTAATGTCAGCCAGTTAGCTTCAACCGCAGCTGTGCTGCACCAATCTCACGGAACTGCAAAACCACAAGCTTTCGCACCAAAGTCATGCAGCTACCGCATTTACAATCCAGTGTGGCCGTTGTTGTGCACATCCTACTTGAAAGATGTGTGGCGTAGGACTTGGAAGACGTATGTCTTTCAAGTATGTAGTTCCACAGCCCAATGTGGTTGTTGTGGCCGAGCGGTCAAGGCGATGGACTCGAAATCCATTGGGGGGCTCCCCGCACAGGTTCGAATCCTGTCCACAACGGTTAGCTGTTTTGCGGCAGTCCAGACGTTGATTTGAGAAGAAGGCATGGAGATCACCTGAGAAGGTGCTAGGAGAAAGAGCCAGGCCTTTGCTTGTGAAAATAGAGCACGCAGAAGCAATGGACCCAGCTATGTCCTGACAAAATTAGGCACATATTCAGTAAACATGGCATCCTTCAATTGGTCTCTTAGCCACCCCACACGTGCCCCCGTGTAGTCGTCCAGGATCCAGTCTGAGTACCGCCAATGACTCATGCGTCTGACAAATGCTCATTGCTTTGCAAGAGGACTGGGATCGGGATTGGAGGCACAGCGGATTTCACCGGGAATGGGACAACAGCAGAAATAGCTTCAAACATCGAACATTACTGCATGAAAAGCACAAGGAGTGGACACATTTCATTGTTTGGAACACTGCTTTTCACTACAGCTCTTTGCATGTAAAAACTTTGCTCTTCTCCACAGCTGGCTGACAGACACGCAAAAGCGCAAGCAAGAGTGGCCACAGACCCACTATGCCGGCCTTTGTACACTCTCTCCATCTAATGATAGAGAGGAAGGATACATTCACTACTTCTAGCCTCCACTATTCAAATTCAGTATTTTCGGCTCTTCATGGCCACTGGCATTTTGGTTTGGTCTTTTTCCTCTTCCTTTTTCTAAATGGTTAATGGCAATATAGACCCCAGCATTGCTGGGTCAGGTATGCCTCTTAGATTCATTAATTGGAATATCAGAGGTATGGGTAACCCTGTTAAGAGATCTAAGGTTTTTACTCACTTGAAACGTCTAAATTCTGACATAGCATTTTTACAGGAGACTCATCTTCGCATTAAGGATCATTACAGGTTATATTGCCCTTGGGTAGGTCAGGTCTTTCACTCAAATTTTAATTCGAAGGCTAGAGGAGTGGCCATTCTCATTAATAAGAAAGTTCCATTCTCTTCAAATGGTAGATACACCATTGTTGCTGGTACCCTAATGCAGAAAAAGGTTTTGTTGGTAAATGTATATGCCCCGAATTTTGATGATGCTGAATTCGCTAATAGACTGCTGAGTAACATCCCCTTTCTGAATACACATTTGCTTATCCTTGGTGGTGATCTGAATTGTGTTTTTGATCCAATTTTGGATCGATCTAATCCTCGTAATTTGACTCAATCATCTATGTCTAAAACATTCTCAGATTTTATGAAACGGAATGATTTTGTTGATCCATGGAGATTTCGCAACCCTTCAATCAAAAAATTTTCGTTTTTCTCTCAGGTCCACCAGTCTTATTCCAGGTTTGATTATTGTTGAAATCTCCCAATTCTTTGAATCTTTGGGCTGAAGGAGGGACAATACTCGGTGTATAAATGCTCAATCAACAATCATTTATTTCCATACAATTCAACAGTCAGAGCATTACAACGTCCGGACGGGAGAGATGCTACCAGAGGGTCAGGCACATGTCTCAAAATGGTGACGGGTTGCTCAGCTTTTTATAGTCTCTAGTGGCCCCCAGCTAGTCGTAAAAGCCAAAACATCACATTCTTTCTCTGTTACAGCGCCTAAGTTATGACCTCGGCAGTTGTTTCTCTGCTTTCTGTAAGGTGGGGGTGTGGAATGTGGTCTATCTATCTCCCCTGTCTTTAGACACAGAGTCTCCTGCTTACAACCTTCTCTTCATGATTCAACAATTAAGCATGTCAAGAAAACAGTGTAACACATTCCCAGCAGATCAAGGATACAGAGTGATGCACATTTATCTAATGAACTAATATGTGAATATGTTCTGTTAACTCAAAAGTATAATGAGAACTAAACTACATACAGCTCACACACTCTATATTAAAGGGTATAATGTGATCTACAGCAGTATTCTAATTCAACTACTTTGATTACATATATAAGGTAACATATAATAACAGAATAATCTAACATTATTTTTTCATCGACAGAACTCTTAATTCATGTGTTAATTCTTCCGACTATTCTGGTATTGTAATATCTGATCATTCTCCTCTGCTATTGGATGTTCAGCTTTCTACCCATAAACGTAGCCCTCCACTTTGGAGATTTAACTCTCTCCTTCTGGCGGATAAAGAATTTTGTGAATTTATTTCAAGCTCTATTGAGGAGTTCTTGTCCTTCAATCAGGATGATTCTGTTTCATATTCTCTGCTATGGGAGACTCTTAAATGCTACCTGAGAGGTCAAATTATTTCTTACTCTGTCCGTGCTAATAAAAAGATTAATGCCAGCCTTAAAGAACTTATAGCTGCAATTAGTAACCTTGATCAAAGTTATACACTGAACCCTTCTCCAGAATTACTGAAGCAGCGCCTTGATTTGCAAGCAGAATTTGATCTTATGTCAACCAAAGAGGCTGAGCACTTATTACTACGCAGTCGTGGCTCATATTACGAATATGGTGACAAGGCTAGCCGCTTGTTGGCACATCAGTTACGACGTCAGGCCTCCTCGCGTGTGATACCCAGTATTAAACACTCTTATGACAATATTACTACAGATCCCTTGGAAATTAATTCTACCTTTAAAACATTTTACTCTTTGTTGTACAGGTCCGAATTTCCCACGGATAAAGCTAAAATGAATGCATTTCTTCATAATCTTTCAAACCCTGTTATTGGTACTAATGATGCGGGGCAATTGGACTCCCCATTATCTGTTGAAGAAGTATTAAAAGCTATTACAGCTATGCAGTCTAATAAAGCCCCGGGCCCGGATGGGTTTCCAATTGAATTCTATAAAACATTTGGTAAATTGGCACCATTGCTTTTGTCTGTGTTTAACGAATCCTTGGAAATGGGTTCATTACCACCTACTTTCACACAAGCAACCATAGCGCTCCTTCTCAAAAATGACAAGGACCCAACCTCCTGTGGTTCCTACAGGCCATTATCTCTGCTTAATGCCGATGCAAAGGTATTGGCTAAAGTAATTGCATCTCGCCTTGAGGATGTGCTTCCTCGAATTATATCTGAAGAGCAGAATGGCTTTATAAAGGGACGGCAATTGTTTTTTAATACCCGTACACTCTTCAATGTTATTTACTCAAAGCGTCGATCTGAACTTCCTGAACTTGTGATTTCTTTAGATGCTGAAAAGGCTTTCGATAGGGTGGAGTGGGAGTACTTGTTTGCTGTTTTAGAGAAATTTGGTTTTGGCGATAAATTTATTTCCTGGATTCGGCTTCTTTATTCATCCTCTAAAGCCAGTGTTCATACTAATGATGTTTACTCTGATTATTTTGCGCTGGGTCGTGGTTGTCATCAAGGTTGCCCTTTGTCTCCCTTACTCTTTGCCATTGCCATCGAGCCTCTGTCTATTACATTGAGATCTTCTTCTGTATTCAGGGGAATCATCCGTAATGGCATTACACATAAAGTATCATTGTATGCGGATGACTTGTTATTATATATGACTGATCCGGCATGCTCCATCCCTGCTGTTGTAAGTGTTCTGGAGAACTTCAGTTCGTTTTCAGGTTATAAATTAAATTTGGGGAAAAGTGAGTGTTTTCCTGTTAATACACATCAACTTCAACAGTCTGATCTGCCCTTTCGTCTCAGTCCATCTGGGTTTAAGTACAAGGTCTTGAATAATCACCACCAATTTTGTCTACAAGATCTCACAGTGCCATATCATCCCAACAGAGTGCTTTGCTCTCAGACTGCTGGCTTCCGAGGGGATTTTAAAGTGCAATGGAAGGCAGAGCCATCACTTTTCAGGCCCCTCTCTGTGGAACCAGCTCCCACTTTGTATTTGGGACACAGACACTTGCTCTCATTTTTGAATTAAGCGTAAAACCTTTTTGCCAAAGTCCAATAACTTGAAAGAGGAGCCAAAGACGTCCTCGTCCCAGATTCGTCCCAAGACAGATTCACACCTATTCTCACCTTGTCTGCTGTGACCTGAAGAACTCGCGTGACCATTGCGACTCTCAAGGTGCTAAAAATCACGCAAGAGTTTAAATGCGTGAGAGGCCACACTTGAGTAGCAAAGAAGCTTTGCTGATGAGATTAAATGTGCAGTTGCATGAAAGCACTAGTCTTTTTAGTGATCTACCTTTTGACCAGTTTAGAACCTGACAAGCGAGTAATCACAATGCCCACCTTGTTAATTGTCCTGAAAATCTGTATAAGCCGGACAATGAATCAGTGATGTTGTAGTCTTTCACAGCGATGGTGGTATAGTGGCGAGCATAGCTGCCTTCCAAGCAGTTGACCCGGGTTCGATTCCCGGCCATCGCAGTTGCCACTCGCAGTGCTGTTCGAGCATGTGGGCTGCGTACTATTTTACACTAAAAACGTTCTCCGCTCTTTTTGCAAATGCTTACAATGTCAGGCCAGGTGCATTCTTCATCGGCCTCGCTGCTACCGTTTGCTGTGGAAAGACACTGTTCACACAGGCTTTGAGTTCTCATCACTTCATACCTATACCTTCTTACATGAAACTGTGATTGGACACGCTACTTCTTCATAAAGACACCCAGTCCCACTTTAAATATTGTGCTCAATGTTTGGAATGAAGATAACATTTTACTAACCATGTACTGATCAGCTCTTTGCGGTGGCAAAATCATCAGCTGTGTGTGTTACTGTTCATGCAAACAAGCAAGCTAATGTCAGCCAGCTAGCTTCAACCGCAGCTGTGCTGCACCAATCTCACGGAACTGCAAAACCACAAGCTTTCGCACCAAAGTCATGCAGCTACCGCATTTACAATCCAGCGTGGCCGTTGTTGTGCACATCCTACTTGAAAGATGTGTGGCGTAGGACTTGGAAGACGTATGTCTTTCAAGTATGTAGTTCCACAGCCCAATGTGGTTGTTGTGGCCGAGCGGTCAAGGCGATGGACTAGAAATCCATTGGGGTCTCCCCGCACAGGTTCGAATCCTGTCGACAACGGTCAGCTGTTTTGCGGCAGTCCAGACGTTGATTTGAGAAGAAGGCATGGAGATCACCTGAGAAGGTGCCAGGAGAAAGAGCCAGG